GGCTTCAGTAGCACGCATCCATTGTACTCTGTTCTCTCTAGTCTTTTCAATATGACACCACGGCTATCAACAAGCTTTCATTTCTTCCTCGCAATATCTCCTTCATGTCAACCTCTCTGCGGACACCCAACTCGTCATTTTACTCATTGCATTCCACTCGTCAGCATGGCCTCACCAGGCACGTGATGTCCTCAAATGGTCATCTCAATGTATTGTCGATTCAATCCATCTCCACTTTCTTCTACATATTCGTTGGCCAATAGGTAGTTGATTGGTTCGTTGCCAGCCAGCCAGCCAGCCAGCCAGCCACAGTTCCTTAGTGCTCATTCTTACCATCCAAACCACCTGGTCGTCAGTAGCGATTAAGCATAGGTGGCAGCTGTCGATGAATGTCTGCAGTTACTTGTAAATGATTTTCGTGATACGCCAAATCTCTCAACCATCACATAGAACCACTGAATTGACTCACGTTGGTGTTGAAAATCCGGATACTGCTCACGCTTTCTGCTGAGTGGAGTGGAGTGCAGTGCAGTACAGTGCAGTGCAGTGCAGTGTGGTGTGGTGGATCTCCATACTGATTTCAGGTTAATCAAGGCGTGTCTCGATGTCTTTCCAATCCTGGCTCTGACATCCTCATCTGTGCTGCTGCCACCACTTGTGGTTGAGAGGATGCTGCCCTACCTAGGTAGGTGAGAGAGACAACTTCCTCTGGGTGTCTGTCGATCATGGTGATTGTTGCTTCTTGTTGTCGTCGTTATGATTGTTGATTGGGTGTGTCCATCACTTCCATTCTCTCTACGTTCAACTGAAGGAAGTTTCGTCCTCATTCGCTGCCTCACCTTGTCTCGCCTCACCTCACTTCACCTCACCTCACCTCACCTCACCTCACCTCTTCTTCCAACTTGTTGGTTTCCGTGTCTACATATTCGAGTTTATGCGACACTAGACACACATAAATCATCATCTTCGGAATCCAAATCTCCTTCTGGACTCTCTCCATCCATCAAACAGCGTATTCTCAACTTCTCACTCCTCACACTTGTCTGTTGCATGATCCAGTCCAGTCCAGTTGAGTCAATCACAATCAGGATGATTTTTGGTGATCGCAGACAGCAGCCTTGTCCTAATCCTTCCTATCTTAATTTCAAAGGCGTTACTGGGCTTTTTATTGTGAATCATTTGGCATGTAGCATCTTCTTACAGCATATAGCTGTTGAACGAGATTGATAAACGTTTGTGGGACCAAAGGTGTAGTTTTTAATCAGTTGCCTGCCAAATTACTTCTCAGTGCTCCTGACGCTGTAGAATGTCTTTTCAAAATCGATGGAGTTTAGGTGGTGAGTTGACCACCATTCTACACTCTGTTCTCTGATGATGCGTGTCGTGGCGTTGCAATTTGATCCGCCCATGATTTGTTCTTCCTGAATCCAGTCAGTGTGTTTTGGTTGTAATTTTGAATATAGAGCACTTTCCAATCTCTCCAGGATGATGCGGCGTAATATTTTGCTTGTGGTGGACCTGACCATTAGTGGGTCGCAGGTGATTTGCAGGTAGCTTTAAATTCAGGTTTTATGCTAACTGTTATGTGTCAGCAAGGCACATCTGAAACCGAAATGGAAACGCTGTCCTCTGTGTAGTTCGAAGCCGCTCAACCCGGTCACACTGAGAATTAGACGATATGAGATTGGTTTCTCTTCAGTGACCGAAATGTGTATCTCATTCAGTCCTACAAGAGGTTGGCTGTGGCCTGAAAAGCTCACTCGTAACCTCGCTGACTATAATAACACTGCGTGCCATGGGCTGGAACCTCAGGAGAGACATTAGTTCCGTCAAAGTTGCAGAAATACCTTGTTGACGAGAGCCAGCAGACACGAAGTCTTTTTAAGTGAGGCTTACTGTGGTGCCGATTCTCTTTGACCAAATAACACCCAATAAGTTTTAGAAATTAATTAAAATAAGGGCGATAATTTGAATTGTTTGAATTGTAAATGAAACCATGTTTGCTATTGAAAAGGAATCCCATTAACTTACAAAACTTTTGACTTCAAAATCAACTACTGGGTCAACCGCTCCTCTACAATACTGTCCCATTAGATCTATATTTCATTTCCTAACTTTAGTTTTACAATAACTACTAATTCAGCTTCTCCAATTCCTCTGACCTATAAATTATGCATAAAATTATTTTAATGATATCTAAATCTAATTGGTGATTTCCTGTAACAAATTTATTTAAATATTTCCGGTTTACGTTTACGATTATAAATGTATGAATGTCTATAGGATATATTTGTATCCTGATCTGTGTGTTCGTATGCTTAAATAGTATATCAGTTTCTGTGAAATACTAATGAAATGCTTGATTTCATAATTTTTAAAGAGACTCTGCGTAGAATGCCGTGAGGGAGATCGATTCCGCTAAACATGTAACATTTTAATAACTGTCTAATATAAAACAAGTAAACTAATTTCTGTTAACTGAAAGAATAGCTAACTAAATTTAAATGAAAATGAAGCAAATTATGTTAAAAATAATGTTGAAGGGGATGATTAGAATAGGCGGTTTACTCCGCTGAGATTCCCCGCTTGCCATCGTCTATGGGTCTACACATTCTTGACCAATAATAATATTCATAAGATGATGAATAATATCTTATTTCTCCTTTGTTTAGAATTATTAACAACAGGTAATATATGCGATGACTGTGAAGTTAAGTAATGCGGTCAAATACTTTTGAGAACGAGTCACATCCTTAATTATATAATTACTGATAGTCAAAGGTTACTTGTTTTGTTCCGTATCATATATTCTCGGATTTAATTACTAGCCAGAATTAGATTTTATGCAGTTTGCGATAGCTACATGCTGTGCCTTCTCCAATCAACACACATTATCAACCTTCAAAATGTAACCCAAGTTAGGTTAGTCAAGTCGAGATTTGGTTAGACCCCTATGGATGATACTAGTTGGTTGATTGCACTGTGTAGCGAACCGACAGGATTAGGAAGTTTTGAAACATTGGATCCCAACCTATTGTACAAATGGTGACGAGTTCGCTATGAGATCCGAAGACCGCCTCAAGGTCGAGACCCCCTTGGTGCTCAATGCTGAGGAGTCTCACAGTAAGCTGAAATAGCTATACAGTACTCCAGAATTTTCTGTGATTTTCCAAGTGATATCCATTAGTGGTGAAAACTATTTTGAACTCGATTAATTTCTATAAACTACCAAGTGACCTATTCATTATTTATCCGCGTATTAAAAGAATTTCTAACATTTAAAAATTGTGGCCTCAACTTTTGCTTTAGAAATATAGGTGAAAGCATCTGTTTCGCATTAATACACATGATAATATGTTCTTTCTGTCAAATAATTACTGCGGAAATCCTTTTCGAAAAGAAATTGTACGTCATTTTCAACTCTTTTTCATATTCAGTCCACTCCTAGTACATTCAATCATTCTTGGATGGCCCTTTTTCATAGACTATTGGTAAAGGTTTTGGTGAAACTAACAGAAGTAATGTGCTGAAATACCATGAGATGAGTATGACTAGTTTTCTCACGTACTTCAAGCTGTTTAGTATGTGCCACATGAACCAGGTTGTCTAAATACAGACATGATAGAATATATTTTGTCTCAACAAATTAGAATGTATCATTTCCACATCCATTTCCCATGACATAGGTAACAGATCATTTTTCCCGTCATATTCAACTTAACTCTTTTACTGGTTGAAGCCATTTTTAACACATCAACTTTAAACACGATCGAAATCGTTGAATATGTAATCATTTGTTCCGAAGGTCACAGCAACAATGAACTTTATTAATCTCAATCAAACTTCTTTTTCATTATTGCGCTACATTTGTGGGTATTAAAGTCAATGGCATTCGGATCCTGGATTAAGAGTAGTAGATTTAAATTTGTGGATATTACCCATCCTCTTTGAGATAATTTACTTTCTATGTGTCATGCATTGTACAAATATGTCCTGTAAAATTTATGAAACAACTCCGAATCTTTACAGAGGTTTATACATAATGTTACTTCTTCATTTCTTCTAGTGTATGTGATAATACTGGCTGATGATTAAAGGTGAAATTAATAGCTTAGGGCACGGTGGGATTCGAGCCAGCAGCTTGTGGGTTACTAACTTATTGCTTTATCAACTGAGCTAAGAAAACTAACTGCTGAGAAGATCTTAATTTCATTTCAATCACCAAGAATTTTGCCCAACTGATATGTGAGTTCGTGATGCATAACCCTCCTTTGGGCTTATTTATAGTAGTTGCTCAGCTAAGACTTGTTTTCTACAATCCAAATTGAAGTGAATTAGAGTATAGAAGGATCACATCGATAGTAAGGTTGACTATCTACGATATCTATGGCTTAACAAACTTGTTTTATTCATAATGAGGGATATTTGAAGGTGAAATGAAAATCTGTATTCAGTGTGTTTACTTTCTGTATAACACATTTCCGTTTCTTGTTTTGTCTTTTTCTCATTTGACCTTGATAATTTATGTTACAGTACATTTAACCTTACCAAAACATATTAACATATTAGTTGATTCATTTGACTGTGTTTTATTAAATTATAGTTATATGCATATCAATCTTATGTTTCCGACATGATTAACATCAACAGACTGAATGAGCTGCTAGAGTAGGTCTGAGTAATAATTCCTCGTTGTTGATCATCCTCTCAGAAAAGCTGAGTTCCATCTAGTTCAACTCAATGAAGGAGGTTGATTGTAGGGAAGAACCCTTTCTACAACGGTTTGTAGATGAAAACAAAGAGACCAGAACAGAATGGATCCAGTTAAGAAGCATTGATAGTCACTTTCAAGAGATATTTCTAGCCACGTCATAATTAAATTCTATACTTATCTGCAAAATCTCCTTTAAGTTTCGATATGAGCATTCAGTGAATCCCAATTTTCAACGTTGCTGTAAACTTTATGTTACATCTCACGCCTTTTCATTTTTTTGATTCAGGTATGCTCATTTCTACAGTGAAAATGGAACCAACTACCGAGATCTCATTAAAGCTTATGGTATACGATTTGTTATTCATGTGAGCGGTGAGGCTGGCAAATTTCATTTCCTTCCACTAACGATGAATATTGGCTCAGGTTTGGCTTTATTAGGCTTGGTAAGCTATTTTTGTTTCTATCGTTCGCATAACATTCCATTATATTTAACTACTTATAATAAAGCAGACAAGATGGCTTTATACTAAAGTATAAAATACTTCAGATAACAATCTAACATAATACCTTACTCACTTACAAGGAGACATTACACTCATGGTACCAAAATAAGTTTACCAAACCGTCTACAATGGAACTTATTTGAGTGAAAACAATTACTTTTATTCAAGAATGTTACTTGGTACGTTCTGTAGCACTTTCAGATGTCTGTCATTGGGTCTGTCGAAATGTTTCTCTTTGTTTGTCATATATATTAGTACGATTCAGGTTGGTAGAGTTAAGCGATTAACGTCATCAAAAAATGTAGGCACTTTACTATTTCTCTACCTTCAGACTACCTATTTTAGCATAGACGACTGAGTGAATGAGTTATCTGGTGACATATACTAAGGAACAGTGTAGATTTCTTCTGTGACTGATAACAACTAGAAAACCTCTGAATGACTGAGAGAAGATAATAACTACGTTATCCTAGATTGAATCTTTTCTAACTTCAGTCGCCACTTTAATATATATCTTTACCGGTGACTTGATACAGCCTGAATGATGTATATGTGGATCCGTGTACAAATACCTTCAGATGCCACCCTTAATAGTTAGGTGTGTTTACAACGGCAATGTCAATAATTTACACAGATTACAATTTCATATATATTTATAACAAAAGCATAGGCTATTTCAATGCCTATTGGGTTCAAGTTCTATTGATTTTCCACTTCTTCAACCAAACCGATACCTATGTGTTGGTTCATGTATGTTTTCCTGAGATTTCCAATCAGAACAATTGATTTAAAAAGGCCTTAGGCATATGCGGCTTCTTAGGAAGATTTTATCAGTCTTTCTGTACGTTATGACACCTCCTCCTTGAAATAGAGGCAGACAGTACAATGATGTCTTTGGATTGACTGGTAATGCTTTGCTGGATAGTAACAAATTATTTCATAATATTTCTTTGACAAATCTGTTCTGTGTTATGCCGAAGTAAATGAAGTGCAAATTGAGACGAAGAGAATGATTTGTTGACACTGAACTAGAGTATTTGATGAACCTCTCCTCTCCCCTTCGCTCAAGAAAGTAGACTGATAAGTATTTGCAAAAGCATTTCCTACAGTTGTATATATGGAATTCCAATATTGCACGACAATAGTTCTGGAAAACTTCTTTAAGGTCACGTCAACCAGACGTGTGGATTTATTCCTTGCCGCAGCATTTTAACACTGAAATGCCCAGACAAAATCGCCAACGTCAATGAACCGAATTCACTTAAGCTTTTTTGAACAGGCAGTACTGTCATACTGTTTCGGTTCTGTCTGCCAGCAATCCTCAGTTTTTATGATAGTCTTAGATCCAGTTTGAGCCAAAATAATCTGGGTGTAGTTGGTTGGGATGATAAGGTACTCTGCTACGCAATGAATAGTCATACTCAACACCAGCATTTACTAGACCAATGACTTGATTCTGATCGCCTGATGAACTGTGAGCCACCTGTGAATTTGGGTAGATTTGGAGTTTTCTAGTTACTTGCTGGTTACTGGATGTGACTTCTGAAGTGGAGCTTGCTTGCGGAAGACCTTGGTGTCCATTGTCTCACAAAGACAAAGGTTGTCTATGATAACGTAATCCATTATCATGCGAAGCAACTAAATCATTTGGTACGTGTACAGAGGTATTGAACCCCTTTGAGTATTTATGTAATTGTTGATGTTGATGTTTTGGCTTGCACTGGTACCTCTTGATAACTCCTTTATCATTTATTATTTCGGGGTCGGTGGTGAAGGCATTACTATCGTCCTCATTCGTCGACGTAACACAATGCATACCACCAGGCTTCTTGAACTCATTTTCAGCTTCACTATGTCCATCACTGAAGTTTTTACGAAAAGTCTCTTTCGGAATTTTATCTAAGGACTTGTGGACCTGGACTCCAGTTAAATATCATTCAGCATTTGCTTGGATTTCTCGATAGCTCCCATTGTTGCTGCTTCCCTCCTTTCTTCATAGCGTTGCATAAAATGTTAAAATTCTTCAATAGAAAGAGTTGTCATATTTTTACCCGTTGCCACATTTATATATCTTTACCAGTAAATCGATACAGCCTGAGTTATGTAAACTTAGAGACGTGTTCAAATACCTTCAGATTTCACCTTCAATGGTTACTCAGAATCCATTGGTTTCTACCCCACGAGTAACAGTGGCAAGCCAGAAGGTCAGTCAGTACCAATGTATGACTTCACACTACTGTTTGAAGGTTCAATTTTTCAGGGTTCACATCAGCACATCATCATACAAAGCAATACGAAGGAAATAAAAATAAGGAAAATTTCATTAAAATTATCAGAGAGCAAACGTGGATGACGCAAACAACAAAATGTGGTACGATGAATAAAATAAAGGCAGCACATGGATGCATCTGCACAAACGTGACTCATTTTGAACCATATCTTCAGATGATGACCAGACATTTGTAACACGTGTCCCAGTTATCTAGATCGATGATTGTTCACAACCTCACCAACTTACTTCTCTCTTCTATCCAAAATTCTACATCTGACTGTTGCGTTATGGACGTACTAACACTACAAAAAATAAACTATGTTATCATACCAATGGTGGTTGAACACCTGAAGCTTTTTCTCGTCCTCTACATTAAATGATAATATTACAAATCCATATAGTACAACACGACAAAATATGCCGCAGTACATTCTATTCAATCGGATATAACGGTGGTTATAAATAGATTAAATTGGTGAAAGGCAAATGTCACTTTCCTGTCTGTTCAGAGATTTCATCAGTCACTAACCTATTAAGTCTTACTCAACTTTTCCGTTAGGTGAAGTGGTTGATGAGCCCAGCCGACTCACACCCTAGTGTGTGACAGAGTAGGGGAAAAACTAGTCTTGGATCTACATTTTGAATTTAGAGGGATGAAAAGACATCCCAAATACTCCCACATTATGGCTTAAGGTGTCAAGAAGACTTCACATCTCAGTTACTTCAGCTAACAAGACTAAGTCACCAACACATATTAGATCTACTAAAAAATCTTTATCAGCACCAGTAAACAGAACCAATATCTAATTTAGAAGTAGTATTCATCATGGACTGACATAAGTTGGGAATAACGCGTTCGCCATGAAACCTGAAGGTCTTGAGTTCGACCCCTAGCCGGGTCGTGGGTGCGTACTGCTGAGAAGTCCCATACTAGGACGAAACAGCTGCTGTCCAGTGCTCCCAGATTACCAATGGTTCCCTAACTCATATCAGTTCATGATGAATACTACTTCTAAATTAAAAATCCTCATTCATCTCAAAAATACAGAACCGATATCTGTTAAAAAACGTGTTCACAGCAGTAATGATGATGTTACCCTTATGTTACATAACAATGTTATTTCTGCACAGAATTACAAATGTGTGACCAGTCAGTGTACGGAAATTAATCCATTATCATTAATGAAGTGTATATTAGCCTTTGATGGTGTCTGAAAGCATAATTAACAAATACTATCACGGCAGATGACATGTATAAAATAAGTTATGCTAAGTTTCAGTCCTTCTTGGTAAGCCTATGGGTAAAGGTTTCTTGATAATTTGCATCCAACTGTGTTCGACACCTCAGTCACCGTGACTTTCTTATTCATTATATATATATATATATATATATATATATATATATATATTATACGGAACTGCCTGTGAAATACCTCAGCCACTGTTGTTGTTTCATGAGCCTCTATACTTAAGGATTATCTCAGATATATGAGACTACTTGAACATGTAATCACTCGCTACGGCTTTGACTTTCGCACCAAACAGTTGATAAATTTGCATAACCCAGTAATGGATGAAGACTGTCAGTTTCTTTGCAAACTGTAGAATGAGAAAGAGAAAAACAGACCGAAAAGATTCTGATGCTCACAACGAAAACTTCCGAAAGTATTGAAATGCATCCCAGAGAGTGCAAATAATCAAACATAAAGGACTATCTTCCCTTATATGTGGCAGACCCTAATATGATTACGCAATAGGAACTAATTACTATCATTTTTTATAGTTCCGTATCCTGACAGAACCTAACAGATCAAGTGTACAGTATAGTCATCAGTTTAAATGACTGCCTTGCACCATTTCAATTTGACTTATTTTAAATTTCTCGATTTATTCAATACGACCTTCTAGATCTAGATGTTATGCATGTCGGTTTCTAACGGAATAATGTATCTGTGTAACTCATTCAATCGATGTCTACTCAGAGATTTCAGACAGTGTTATCCATTTCTGCAACCTTCATCTTCATGAAGTTATTTGAGTTGTAAATGTTAAAACTAACGCCTACAGAATTGCTTCTCAGTATTTTCTAGTGAACGAACAAAAGCTGTCTACTTCCTGTATCAGTATAAGTCTGATCTCAGATAAATTTATACCTATTGTTAATATTTCTGTGTCCTATATATATTATGTTTTCATCTGGATTATTTGCGATTAGATTTAGTATTTAATGTATCCACAGTGACCAGTATTAGGATATCTATTCACGGGAAGTTGGTGTAGTATCGTAGTAATTCAGTTATTATAATGCCAAAAAATTAAACATATTTACCCCGTTTTTCAAATATAGTATGACGAACAGTAATACTCAACATAGATTATATAAATGAACCTTACTGTTACGTCGGGTAATATACAACTGAACACCTTGAGTAGTTAGACACCAATCAGAATGATATTCACATTTCACCAGACAATCACATTAGAGTGATATAAACAACAGACGGCTGTCTCACTCATTTTGAACCGAAATCATCAGCAGCTCATTCAGGTGAATTCACCACATAGGACCAAATTACTTCAGATCATCTAAATCTGGCTAGCTGACTTCCATGAACTAGTATACCTAATATAAACTATCACTTTGCAAATGATTTAAAAGTCACATGGTCAACGTTGACACCGCTCATAGTTAGGCCGTTTATCAGTCGCTAAAATTTGATGTCAATAAAGTTTCCTCAGGTAATCATCCAGGCAAGATCACATCACAATTGTGCAGTTAAAAAACTACACAGTTAAGGATCGTACAATTTGCAAGTTGACTACAGATTAATAATCATATTTAGTATTCGCATCTCCTTCACCTACCTAGGTAGGGCAGCATCCTCTCAACCACAGGTGGTGGCAGCAGCACAGATGAGGATGTCAGAGCCAGGATCGGAAAGACACCAAGACGCGCTTTGATTGACCTGAAATCAGTATGGAGATCCACCACACCACACCGCACTGCACTGCACTGCACTGCATTGCACTGCATTGCACTGCATTGCACTCCACTCCACTCCACTCAGCAGAAAGCGTGAGCAGTATCCGGATTTTCAACACCAACGTGAGTCAATTCAGTGGTTCTATGTAATGGTTGAGGGATTTGGCGTATCACGAAAATCATTTACAAGAAACTGCAGACATTCATCGACAGCTGCCGCCTATGCTTAATCGCAACTGACGACCAGGTGGTTTGGATGGTAAGAATGAGCACTAAGGAACTGTGGCTGGTTTGCTGGCTGGCTGGCTGGCTGGCTGACTGGCTGGCTGGCTGGCTGGCTGGCTGGCTGACTGGCTGGCTGGCTGGCTGGCTGGCTGGCTGACTGGCTGGCTGGCTGGCTGGCTGGCTGGCTGGCTGGCTGGCTGGCTGGCTGGCTGGCTGGCTGGCTGGCTGGCTGGCTGGCTGGCTGGCTGGCTGGCTGGCTGGCTGGCTGGCTGGCTGGCTGGCTGGCTGGCTGGCTGGCTGGCTGGCTGGCTGGCTGGCTGGCTGGCTGGCTGGCTGGCTGGCTGGCTGGCTGGCTGGCTGGCTGGCTGGCTGGCTGGCTGGCTGGCTGGCTGGCTGGCTGGCTGGCTGGCTGGCTGGCTGGCTGGCTGGCTGGCTGGCTGGCTGGCTGGCTGGCTGGCTGGCTGGCTGGCTGGCTGGCTGGCTGGCTGGCTGGCTGGCAACGAACCAGTCAACTACCTATTGGCCAACGAATATGTAGAAGAAAGTGGAGATGGATTGAATCGACAATACATTGAGATGACCATTTGAGTCCATCACGTGCCTGGTGAGGCCATGCTGACGAGTGGAATGCAAAGGGGAAACAACGAGTTGGGTGTCCGTAGAGAGGGTGACATGGAGGTAATTATGTGAAGAAGAAATGAGAGGTTATAGGCAGCCGTGGAGCGAGGTTGAAAATGCTGCAGAGAGCAGAGTGCATTGGAGACGTGCTACTGAAGCTCTATGTTCCACTATGAACTTATGGGACAAATAATAATAATAATTAGGAAACTGAATATAGTAACGCTTAGTTTTTAATCCCTTTAATGTAGTCATTTGCGTTAACTTTAAGCATTGATTTATTGTAATTAAAGTCACAGCAGCTCGTTGAGGTAGTGTTAAAAGTCTTACTCAATTTTTTTTCTGTCTACCTTTCAGGCGCCAACAGTCTGTGATATAATTGCACTGAATTTGTTAAGATCAAGAGATATTTATCAGAGAGCAAAATTCGAAACAATCGCTGAAGAACAAGCTCAATTATCCAACCGACGTGCTAGTAAAGCTCAACGTAAAAAACATGCCTCAGCTAAACTAATTAATACAGAGATGAATGAAAATTCAGATGAAAATGGTCGAATTGTTCAATGGAAAGATGACCAAAACTTCCTTGAACAAGATACACAAGCTATACACTCATCATAATTATTAGTTGATTGATTGTCTTAAGTAAACGCTATGTAAAGTTGCAAAATGAGAAGATTTATATTACAAAAGGAAACAAACGAATCAGTTTCACGCTGACTATATCCAATGGTAAATTATTCCTGTCATATAATCGTCATAATAAAGTGTAAGACGTCAGCGTAAGAAAAAGCTTTATTGAATATAACACCTTCATCTACCTATCTGTTAATTATTCTGAATACTGTTGTATTTCTTTCTTACTTACTAACATTTGATGATCTCTTGTAAGAATCAGATGATTTTATCTACATGAAAATCATTTTCATAATCTTCTTCATGCCTACCATCAAATTTTTTAATTCTACTTTCACACTAACTGAATATATACTTTATATATATATATATATATATGTACTTTTTATTCCTTTGTGAATGTTGTCACTTCTATTGTTACTCTTTGCCACTGTATCAACCTGTCAAGGACACAAACCATTCTCTTTTATCTAGATATCCTGAATTCTTTTATTGATTTCATTCCTGATCTAATATTTTGCAAGTTTTCAGCTAAAGAGTCAAGAATATAAATGTATACACATCCTGATGTAACTGGATGGCTTACAATCGATTTGTTTTGCTTCTCATATTTTGCAATACTCTTCTAAACAGTTTTTAACTTTTCTCTTCAAAACATATACAGGGAGAAAGTTTAATACACAAAAGAGTCTAGTATACATCACTTATGTATGCTCTTCAAATGTATAACATTAGGAATGAAATGATGAGAGGCAGTGCACCTGAAATAAAGATTTTTCAAAGTTTCTGACTTCAGTTGGAACTGTTTTATTTATTTATATTTTATGTGGTGGAGGTTTATGCAAATGAATGAGATTTATTTCCGTTATCTCCATTATCATCTGTTCTAAAACACCTTTTTTTGGTGATGATTTTCATTTTGATGTCCATTTAGTAAAAATATGCCTAATTGTATGTATTATATAGTTGTACTGATATTATTATTACTATTACTGTTATTATTAATGTTAAATATACACATATTCACTTTAATTTATTCTTTTCATCTAATGAACTAATACTGCTGGTTGGTAAAGAGGGTTCAGAGCTGAATTCTGTCGGTCACACTATAGACGAGTTCAAGTTCTTAACAAATAAGAGGATACTTACATTCATCCGACTTGTTAAGTTCAATCTCCATATGTAAATGGTTTCAACCACACACTCACTGTACAGTAGTACATTTAAGAGTTATTGAGTTGCATAGTAATATCACTAAGCCCTATTAGAATAAATATTCAGTAAATTTTATACTTGGTTATTTAAAAATGCCACTTTGGAATCGTGTGCTCATTAGTGTCTGGCTTCGAAAGGAAATAAGAATTCCCGAATTTTTTATTAGATGTTGTAACCGCTGGGGAAAATTAAGTCGCGTGTGAAGATGGGTATTCAGCAACAGCACTGGATGAAGTTTGCTCCATATCATGAACTAACAGAAGTGGAAAAACCTTAATCTCTGAATTCCAACTGAGTGGTTCAATGGCAACGTACTGGCCGCGGAACCTGAAGTCCCTGGGTTATGAGTTAGGAGTTTTACACTAACCGAAACAGCCTTAGAATGAACCTATAAACCTACAAATTGAATTTGAAAAGTAGATTGACTTGTGAATCTTTACAGTTATAGCCACATTATTGAAAATATTACTTCTTGTACATTAATATTTCCCCCTAATTTGTTCAAACTCATTGATTCTTTTTGCCTTCACATCAGCAGACAAAATGGGTCCAGTGCTCTTCCAAACACTACTGAAACTGTTTTGCGTACTCTGTACAGAATAACTGATTCACATGTGGTTAGTGGGAAATAACTGAAAGCTTTAAATTTCGTTGAAAGTTTACTGAAACGGATGGAAAAGTCAGGTTTACAGTTTACTCAACCAAAAATAACAGTTAAGAACTAATATGCTGTTATTAGAAGAACTAGATTGAAAGCTTTTGCTTACCGTACGAGAAAATTTATTTGCTAAAATAACCTAACTTTTGTGTCTATTGTGATGACTAAGAATCCAACTTCTTAGGCTTCAGCCAGGTATTTTCATACAACAATGAGTTCTAACAGCAAAAATCTTTTAATTATGCGTTACTTCGCCACCTCTACACTCATGAATACATCAGTCGATGTTTGTTGCGAATGGTCGATGATAATTTCTTAAACCAATCGTGATATGAATAGTAATATGGTTGTATAGTTGTATAGTATGTAGTTGTATTTCTCTTGGATTAATGTCGAATGTTTTTCTCGACGCTCTTTATTTGTAAGAACATTATTGAGCATGGAAAACGGAGGTTATATTCAGAGGAATTCTCCATAACGTCATATATTTTTGCGTTTATTTCCTTATTAAAATTGGAAATATGAAGCCCGTTCCTCTAAGATAAATGGAGTGATTTTTGATATATGTTCGGTCATAAACAATAATTGACTACGTAATAATAAGAAAATAAATGAGTATTGATAGAAACGAAAAAAGGAATAGGTGTATAAGGTATACTAAAAGTTAAATCATGTTGACCGCCACGTTAATGAAAGTGGTAGAACAAATAATTTTGAATAAAAAGGTTAGGTTTCCAAAGATGGATTACAATCGCTTCTATCATGTGAAGTAAGTGAGTGCGTAATACATGTGGTAAACTAATTGGAATATCATGAATAATTTCGAAAGTTCCACTCGTATCGACTTGATATCCCGCGTCAAATAGGTGTGCACGCATTATTATTATTATCATTTGTCCCTTAGGTTCATAGTGGAACAAAGAGCTTCAGTAGCACGTCTCCATTGCACTCTATTCTCTCCAGTCTTTCAATTTGACACCACAACTATCAACAAGCTTTCATTTCTTCCCCGCACTATCTCCTTCATCTCACCCTCTCTACGGACACCCAACTACTCATTTTCCCCTTTGCATTCCACTCGTCAGCATGGCCTGACCTGGTTCGTGATGGCCTCAAATGGTCATCTCAATGTATTGTCGATTCAATCCATCTCCACTTTCTTTTACATATTCCTTGGCCAGTAGGTAGTTGATTGGTTCGTTGCCAGCCAGCCAGCCAGCCAGCCAGCCACAGTTCCTTGGTGCTCATTCTTATCATCCAGACCACCTGGTCGTCAGTTGCGATTAAGCATAGGTGGCAGCTGTCGATGAATGTCTGCAGTTTCTTGTAAATGATTTTCGTGATACGCCAAATCTCTCAACCATCACATAGAACCACTGAATTGACTCACGTTGGTGTTGAAAATCCGGATACTGCTCACGCTTTCTGCTGAGTGGAGTGGAGTGCAGTGGAGTGCAGTGTGGTGTGGTGGATCTCCATACTGATTTCAGGTTAATCGGGGCGTGTCTCGATGTCTTCCCGATCCTGGCTCTGACATCCTCATCTGTGCTGCTGCCAGCACCTGTAGTTGAGAGGATGCTGCCCTTCCTAGGTAGGTGAAAGAGACAACTTCCTCTGGATGTCTGTCAATCATGGTGATTGTTGCTTCTTGTTGTTGTCGTTATGATTGTTGATTGGGTGTGTCCATCACTTCCATTCTCTCTACGTTCACCTGAAGGAAGTTTCGTCTTCCTCCGCTGCCTCACCTCACCTCGCCTCACCTCACCTCGCCTCACCTCACCTCACCTCACCTCACTTCACCTCTTCTTCCAGCGTGTTGGTTTTCGTGTCTACATATTCGAGTTCATGCGACACTAGACACACATAAATCATCATCTTCGAAATCGAAATCTCCTTCTGGACTCTCTCCATCCATCAAACAGCGTATGCCCATCTTCTCACTGCTCACACTTGTCTGTTGCGTGATCCAGTCCAGTCCAGTCCAGTCGGGTCAATCACAATCAGGAATATTGTCGGTGATAGTGGGCTGCAGCCTTATCTTACTCCCATCTTAACTTCAAAGGCTTTATTTGATCTTCTCATTGTGAATCACTTGGCATGTAGCATCCTGACACAGTACTTAGCTGTTGAATGAGATTTATTAATGTTTTTGGCAGTGAAAGCGAAGTATTGAATCAGCTGCCTTCCAAATTACTTTTCTGTGCTAATGACGCTGTTGCAGACCTTTTCAAAATCGACGGAATTTAAATAGTGATTTGACTGCGTAGTGTTGCAATTTGATCCGCGAGTGTTTGGTTCTTTTTGAATCGAGCTGGTCACTCTGTTTTGGTCCTAATCCTGAATCCAGAGCATCCCTTAGTCTCTCAGTATCATGTGGCACAGCACTTCATTGTACTTTATCCTAAACTTTCCTGTATGTCGCAGGATTTGTATTCACATGGTTACATTTGTTTCGTGTTTCTCAGCTGCAAAATACGTTCAATACGTTAGACTGTACTATGTTAGCTTCTTTCAAGTTATTCTTCATCTTAGACTGACGTCAGTTGGAGGAACAAAGGAAACTCGGGAGCACTGGACAGCTGTTTCATCCTAGTATTGGATTCCTCAGCAGTGCTCACCCACGACTCCGCCGGGAATGGAACCCGTGACCTTCAGGTTCCGTGGCCAGCACGTTACCGTTGAGCCACTGGGTCAGAATTTATTGGTCCATATTTCCAATTTTTGTTAGCTCACGATATAGAGCAACCGCCACACAATGTCATCGCTGAATAACTGTCCTCACAACCATCAGACTTCTTTGACAATTTTGCGTTTTTTGTACCTTGCTGGTGAGGTTCATTGATTTTAAAACTGTACTGAAGTTTTTCCATGAGAAAAAGTTAAATTTTGACTAAAAAATATTTACCCAGGCTATCTAGTAAGTATACTACTATGATGTTTACCTGAATGAAAGACAGACGTACTTAAGAATCTAACTGACCCAATGAAGCAAAATAATTTGATGCATAAAATACCATGCAATGACTGTGAAGTCAAGTACATGGGCCAGACTAGTTAGTCGGGGTCATTTAGAATAGCGGAAGCTGCGAATTTAACTAAATATAGAATAATA